TTCTCAGTCTCTCCCTAACCCCAAGGTCAGTCCTGTTTTACAACAGTGGCACCATGCAGTATTTGTCCTTTTGTGACTGAGATACTTCACTTAGCATAATGTCCTCCAGAGTCACCCATTTTGAATAATATTGCATGAGTTTCTTGTTTTTCAATGCAGCATAGTATTCCATTGTGTGATTATACCACAGATTCTCTATCCATTTGTTTTTTGATGGGAACCTGGGTTATTTCCAACTCCTAGCTATTGTGAACAAAGCTGCAATAAACATGGGTGTGCAAATATCTGCTTGGATGTCAGTTAGGGTCTCTTTGGGGTATATTCCTAGTAGTGGAATTGCTGGGTCAAATGGTATCTCTATTTGCAACTTTTGGAGAAAGCGCCATTACGCTTTCCACAGTGGCTGCACCACTTTACACTCCCACCAACAGTGAATAAGGGTTGCAGATTCTCCACAACCTCGCCAGCATTTGCTGCTTGCTGTTCTGTTAAATTTTGCTATTCTGACTGGGGTGAGATGATATCTCATAGTTGTTTTTAGTTCCAGCAAATTCTTGGGGAGTCTTTGGGACTTTTTATGCATAAGATGATGACTTTATGAATAAAAATTACTTCTTCCTTTTTATTTCTTTTTTTTTTACTTCTTCCTTTCTAATTTAGTTATCCTTATTTCCCCTTCCTTAGTCTGATTAGGGCCTCCAAATGAATACTGAATAACAATGATAATACTTGGAAATCCTTGTTTTATTCCTATTCTCATGAGAAATGTGCTCAATCTTTATCCATTAAAGAATACTGTTGGGATGTTTGTTTTGCACATATGCCCTTAATAACACTGAGTAATTTCTATTTCTATTTTGTTGGTAGTTTTAACCAAGAAATTGAAACAGATTTTATCCATTGCTGCATAAAATAAAATTTATCAGTTGTGCTTTTGTTGTTGTTATGTGACTCGTAGTGACCCTATGTACAACAGCCCTAAACTCAGCCCTATCCTGTGCCAATCTTACCATCTCTGACACACCAACCCCCACTGCCCCAGTCACTGAATCAATCCATCTCATTGAGGGTCTTCCTCTCCTGTGTTGTCCCTCCATCCTCCCAAGCATGATGTCCCTCTCCAAGAACTGGTCCCTCCTTGCAACATGTCCAAAGTATGTCAGACAAAGCTTCAGAATCCTTGCCTCCAAGGAGC